ATGCTCTTTATCAAGAGCCACAGACGTCTGATTGAAAAATTAGAATGATGTAAATTGATGCTATCAGTGTCTCTGATACACATAAAAAATTTAGAAAACCTCTTTACAATCTCTTTAAATTACAATTAAGTAAATGTATTATAAAAAACAGAATAAACAAAAAACAGAAATTAAATTTTAAATAATCTATATTCACTTCTGGCAGTCTTGAAATTTCTACGTTTTGGACGTTTTGGACGTTTTGGTTTTTGTGGGAGTCTTTGGCCTGTGAATGATAATTTGTACGTTTAAAAATAAAATGGAATGGAATGAAGTTTTACTTTTGTCATTTCTGTACCATAGCAACATCAAGAAAATACGTCATTTTCACCAACATTTGATGAATTAGTTATAGGTGTTATAGAAGATACTCTCCTACAGAAGCACTGGCCTAGGTCACAAGTATTAGGTGTTATACAAGATACTCTCCTACAGAAGCACTGGCCTAGGTCACAAGTATTAGGTGTTATAGAAGATACTCTCCTACAGAAGCACTGGCCTAGGTCACAAGTATTAGGTGTTATAGAAGATACTCTCCTACAGAAGCACTGGCCTAGGTCACAAGTAGAGACTATGAAACATGAAAACTATTTCAATTCAAACAGAATATGTTTTAGTGCAATTCATTTAAAACCTTGGTGTTTTGTTTCCCATTTTTTCTCTGGGAAACTCACTGAAACAGCCATGATCTACCCATGTCATAAAATATTTTACTTAAATCCGTACAGTTTCCAAAAAACGTAACAAAATTAAAAAATTTACGTTAACTTTATAGTTTGGTGTTAGAAAATGGCAGGATTTTTTTCAGTTAAAACTTTCAGATACGTTAAAGGGCACATTTCTCTAGATTTTGGTGTATAGTTTTCACAAATTAAAGCAAACAAAATGTCCAATCTCCCCAAAAAAAAGAACACCCCTACAAAAGGATAGTTTTAACTAGTTTTGGGTGGTGATTGGTCTAATAAAAGTTTTTTGTAAAAACCTACAGAATAAGTAAGTAAGAATATATAATATAAAGTATTGTAAATCAAGAGTAAAATATAGTTGTATGTCTATCATTATTTAACAATCAATAAGTCACCTTGACCTTCCTGATTCTATACTTCCATCCATTTATTAATCAAACATAGTTAACCTAATGGATTAATACCATGGAATCTCTCCTAGACTATCAGGCTTTATTGGCACCAAGTACAACATCTGTCTTTATTCCAGCCTCTGATAGATATTTTGACAGTTATCAGCTGGTGTAGAGACAGAAAAACGGGGCTTTGTTTTATGGGGTTTTTATAACAGATGAGACAGAATCTGTCATAGACTATCAGGCTTTTTTGGCACCAAGTACAACATCTGTCTTTATTCCAGCCTCTGATATTTTGACAATTATCAGCTGGAGTAGAGACAGAAAAACTAGGCCCTGTCTGATAGGGGTT